GGGCTTGAGGGCTGCTTGGGGGGGGAGCTAACAGGGTGTTGGATCCCCCTTGTGCTTTCTTCCCCCCCATATGAACAGGAGGGGGTGGCACCCCGACTCACTGCCCTGCGTCCTGTCAGGGATGTGGCAGCTGTGGGAAGTGCCCCCCCCAGCAAGGGTTCCCTGGGGCCAGTTCCTCAATGCACCGTCCAGCCTAGTCCCCGCTCCACCCCAAACTCTTTGCCCCCTGCTCATGTCAGCTCAGCTGCTTACTGAGGTCCTGGCTCCACCCCTTTGCCTCCCCATCACCTGCCCAGCTTACCCATGGGCATGTTACACTTGATCGACAACACTTCTGTGGCTCCTGGGTGCTTAACTCCCCTATTCCTTCCCCCTCCCCTGCCCCGTGACTGACACAGTTTTGCCATGGCAAGTAAAAATGCGACCGCTGCTTTGTCGGCTGGAGGGCTCTCGTGTCCACAAAGTGAAAGCGCGTGGGGTGTGTATTTGGTGGGCAGACTTGCCAACAGCGTGTTCACACGCTGACTTTTAGCACAGGACACGGTGTAGTTGGTCAAACGCTGCCTAGCGTAGACGTCCCCCAAAGCTTTTCTATGCTTGTGTTGCTATAACGCCCGGGTGGAACTGAACCTGGGACCTTTAGAGCTTAGTGTAGGAGCCTTTACAGCTAGAGCTAAAAGCTAGCTGTTTCTCAGTTAAGGCTGTAGAGCAGACTCATCCTCTCTCTGTAAGTGGTCTCAGTGCCACTATTAGATGGACCATGCGCCCCACCCAACAGCTCCGTGGGTTACATCGACGCTAGAATACTACAGTTACCTCCTTGTAGCAAAAAGCCTTTTCATTGCTCTCCTACCCTGTACTCCCCATCCAGCTGCTTGTCCTGCAACATGCCGGCTGATGCCCAGAGGGTCCCAGGCAGTTAAAGTAGCCAGCTAATGCACTTGAAGACAAGCAGTAGAGATCTATGCACTGGCTGCAGCAGGCCTGGCTTTACCTCCTGTTGATGAGCTGAGGCCAGAGTCATGGGATCAGTTAAAAAACCGTCATTTCTGTGGGCCCTCGTACCAGTGGCAGACACTGGGGAGTGTAAGCACGGCGGCCAGGGTTATCTTTGTGTGTTAGTTGCATCAACGTCCCTAGTGCCATTCCCGTGTGAATGATGATCTCTCCAATAGACTTGCAAGTGTGTGGAGCACATTCCCCTGTCGGGCACAAAAAGGGGCAGCCACACAGTCAGGATGGGATGCACCCCTGGAAGGTGGGTGTCCCTCCTCCGGGTCTCCATTAGCCTGCTTGAAATGGGTCAGGTGGCTGTGGTGAGACTAAGGCTTGTGAAATCTCTTGAGGTGTCAGTAACCTGAACAGGCACATGGAGAGGGCCCAGCGAGGCGCAAAAAAGGTTTGGCATGATGATGGAAGCAGAGGCTGGCTCCGAGATGTCTTTTTCCGAGATGTCTTTTTCCAGCAAAGTGCTTGGGTGGAGCTGCTGGTGCTGATCAGAGCTCACTTTAGGGTCGGGAGTCTTTTTGGATTTATCCCTTCACTGAAGACGTTCCAGTGCTGCCCAGCTGATGACCAGAATGCCCACAGTGGGGTGTTTTGTTTCTATGGGTGGTGCACATCCACACATGCCTTGGTGCACATAAAAATTTATTCTGTACCTGGATGGGAAAAAATCGGCACATGGATGGAGAAGATCAGAGGTAAGATTGTTCCCCGATAATGTTCATTCTCATGGATGGAGAAGATCAGAGGTAAGATTGTTTCCCGATAACGTTCTTTCTTTATCCTTTCTAGGAGGATGCTCTTCCTCATTCTCCAGACGACCTGCAGTCTGACTGCCTGGCTCTCCCTCTACACCTGTTTTTGCTACTGGAACAAGCACCGTACTTACGAGTGGAGTTGCCGGCTGGTCACTTTGGTGCATGGGGTCCTCATCACTTGCCTCTCCGGCTACATCGCTCTTATCGATGGCCCCTGGCCTCTCACTCACGCAGGTTTGTTTTGGTGGAGTTTTGCCCTGGGACAGGTGGTGACCTGAAAAAAGGCAGCATCTGTGTCAGTCGGTGATCAGTTCTCTGTCCTTAGAGCTCCCTTTGCTACCTCTTGCTGTCTACACCAGGTCTCCCAATTTTTCATGCTGTCATCCATTGTTGGAGCCAGGTGTTCTTTGCCTGCCTGTAGGCCGACTCCCTGCAATCTGTTCTTTGAGACCCATCTCCCTTTTTTTTTCCAATCCCTGACTGCTTATTGCTACCTGCAGACACATCGCTCTCTAACTTTTCCTCTCTCTCTGTTTTTTCAACTGTTTCCCCCAGTCATATGATGAAATTCCTTGGAGCAAGGCCTTGCTCCAAGCTGTTAGGCAATGCACTGTGCACATTTTTGGACTTCATCAAGAATTAACTCCTTGCCTTACGCCCATCTCTGATTTAATCCCATATCCTGCCCGACTCACTCAGCCTCTGGAACCCATTAGGGTTCTGCTGTTATTGTGAGGACAATGCATGGTAGTAACTTAAAATATCAGGTTCCTAAACAGCAAGAGCTCTCCAGTACGGATAGGTGCTGCTCTCCTACACATACTCTACAAGCCACCAAAGCGGCAGGATTAATAGGCTTGCTAGAATTCAGTGTTTATTTTTACTAACTTTGGTGGATAATCGTGACTGTTTATTTTTAAGCTGTTTTGCATTTACATTTTCACAGTTGCGGCAAACTCTGTGGCAAGGTCAGATAATTATTTCATGCCAGTAGAAGGTGAGATTCAAAGTATTTGAGCTTTAGGGATATGAAAACTCCAGCTGAGAGAGACCAGGTGGGCGAGGGAATATCTTTTATTTGACCAACCTGAGTTGATGAAAGAGCCATGCTTGTGAACTCCACAGAGCTCATAGGCTGACAGACCTGGAAAAGAACTCTGTGTAGCTTAAAAAAACCAAATAGTTGTTCTTGGTTTTGGACATCCAACACTCCATTCATCTGAAGAAGTGGCCTGTGTCCACGAAAGCTCGTAATACCATCTACTTGATGTGTTAGTCTTTAAAGTGCTACCAGATTATTTGTTATTTTTTAAGTTGTTCCTGTTACAGACTAACTCGGTACCCCATAAAGCTTCTGTGTGGCTTGAAAGATTAGCTCTCTCACCAACAGATGTTGGTCCAATAAAAAGATTTCCCCCTCAGCCACCTTGTGGCTGTCATCTTGGGACCCACATGGTTACATAAAACTAAAAAGAACACAAAATATCAATGTTACATGTCAAGGTATACAAAATAAATAGCCTACATTCCAGCTGATTGAACTAGTCATTCACTACTACAAGCCTAATTCAGAAGTCTGCGTTCCTGCATTTTATCTTAAGTTCTCAAGCAACATTTTTCTTGCTTTCCTTCTCTTTACATTTCAATTATTACTGATGGCACACACGGGGTTATGATAGGACAGTAGAAATCACATGCCACATTCCAATGGTAAGGCTACGTCTATACTGCACCTCTCTTGTGCAAAAGTTTATGCAAATGAAGCGTGGATTAGCACATTGCCGCACTTCATTTGCATAATTAATTAGGGGCCACTTTTGCACGAAAAGGAGCTGTGTAGCTGGCTCCTTTATGCGCAAAAAACCCCTCTTGCACAAGAGCTGTTCTTCATTTTTTCAGGAAGAAAAGGGGAGGGGGGGGGGTTGTGCATAACGGAGCCGTCTACACAGCTCCTTTTTGCCCAAAAGCCTCTTTCGCAAGAGTGGCCCCTAATTAATTATGCAAATGAAGTGCGGCAATATGCTAAGTTTTTGCACAAGAGAGGTGCAGCACAGACATAGCCAAAGAGGGTGAACACAATCCCCGCTTCATCACAGCATGTTCAGTAGGACCCAGAAACATCCGCTAACATCCACGAGTGAAGTACAGTACCGCAGTGTTATAGGGCTATCCGCTTAGGACTGTAGAAAGGGGAACTACGTGGTGGCAGATCTCTGAGGGACAAAATGTCTTCCATCCCACAAGCCCAAGATGTAGAGGACAGTTGGTTTGATTCCTTTCCTTTCCATGTTCATTGTCTCTCAACAATTCCTAATCCTGCTTGGTAAATGTACATGTTAAAATATCTTTCTGCCTGTCAGCTGTCTGCAGACTTCACCTGGGGTCTGAGAGTCAAGCTGGTTCCTTTCTGACTTGGAGATTTTTGCCTTCACTTACACCTCTGCTGTTCCATTGGCAGACTAGACCTTGGCTCCACCTCCATCTCTCTCTGAGCTGCGGAGGCTCTGCTATGCTAACGGCATAGTAGTAAATCTGGGGAGGGAGCGTCTTCCTTGCTCACACCACAATCAGAGAGCAGATCTACGGAGTAAGCGGCCATTGTTTTTCAGCTGTATTGCTACGGGTCCACTGTGTAAGTGGTGTTTGAGGCTATGTCTCCACTGTAGCTTTCTTTCTGCAGACAGTATGCAAATGAAGTACTCATTTGCATATTGTGCACTCTCATTTGCATATTCTGTGCTTTCTTTACGGAAGAGGTTTTGCCCTTAAAAAGCCCTGTGTACATGGGGCCATTTATCGGTGGGGAAAAAAGCCTTTTGCACAAGATCCTGTAAACCTCGATTTTTTGAGGAATAAGGGATCTTGCGCCAAAGGGTTTTTCCCCCCAACAAATGGCACATTAAAAAATGTGGATTTTCAATAGCAAAACCTCTTCCGCAAAAAGGATCGGATGAGGATATGCAAATGAGAGTGCAAGATAGGCAAATGAGCACTTCATTTGCATATCTTCCGCCAAAAAAGCCGCGGCATAGATGTAGCCTGAGAGAGGTTTCCTCTCGGTTTAATGCATCTCTTTCCTTTCAGGGACACTCAACACTCCTCTCCAGGTCCATATGCTGTGCCTTACCCTGGGTTACTTTCTCTTTGACCTCAGCTGGTGCATGTACTTCCAGACGGAGGGAGGTCTCCTGCTGGCTCATCACACACTGAGTATATGTGGCATGATGGTCGTGCTGGGGCTGGGCAAGTCGGCCACCGAAATCAACGCCATCATCTTCGTCAGCGAGGTCACCAACCCGTTGCTGCAAGCCCGCTGGTTCCTGCGGGAAACCGGGCGCTACCGCGGCTTCGTGGGAGACGTGGTGGATTGCTCCTTTGTGGTTCTCTTCATGGTGCTGCGGATCGGGGTGGGAGCGCAGATCATGTATTCCATGACCGTCTCGCCCAGACCCATGTGGTTGCTGAAGGCTGGCGGCCTGGCTATGTACGCAGTGTCCCTGGGGTTCATGATGGGAATCTGCAGCTTCACTAGGAGGAAAGTTTTGAAAAAGTACCAGGCCTGGAGGAGCAGGAGCAGCGGGGACGTGCCCCTGACAACAAACGGGCGCCTAACACCTCATTAACTTCGTGCTGACTGCACTCGGCGTGTGTCTACTGGGAATTCTGACTTAGGCAGCCGTTCAATCCCAGTGTCATGAGCTAGCCTGGGATGAGCCTGAATCGAATGGTACTTTGGGTGGCCAGCAAATGCTGATGGGGAAAGGGATAAGCAGAGGACTAAATAACTTGGCCGAACGTGTGAAGGTGCAAACGTCTCCAGCACCGATATGGTCTCCTATGGGGTGATAGAGCTGCCTGGTCCAGGCACACTGTATAACTCCAACTTACCCCTCAGAGGCAGTGTTGTGTTATGGCCAGAGCCAGCTCTGGGTGGAGTGTGATCTTCCCAGCTTTGCCACCAGCTGCGTGACCCAGCAAAGTGACTTACCCTCTGCCTTGGTTTCCCAAGCTATGCAATAACCTAATACACACTGGAATGAGAGGCACTGCACAAACACCAAGTACATACTGTGGCTGAGCTGGGTGTCTGGAAGTGAGGGTGTTTTGTGAAGGGGTAGGACTCTAGGGCTAATCGCTGAGGCAATGTCTTAGCTTGGTTGCTTTTAATGAAATGACTCTTCCCCTTGAGTCTTGCTTCTGCTGGTCTGGGTTTATACTCACAACCCGATTCTGGTCTGATTTGTAGCAACGTCCCTTCGGAGGAGTTACTCTGGTTTTGCATCCGCACAAGTGGGATCAGAATTGGGCCCATCATCTCGGTTCACTTCCTTGTAGGGAGGCGCTCCTGTGCGGTGCTTCCTGTTGGCATTCTCAGCCATGCAAGACCCCCGATGGAAGGAGCTGTGGAGACACAAGCCCGCCTCAGACCCTGCTGCTAAAGGGATCCTTCCAGGTGAGGAGGATACAGGAGAATTGTGTCCTGGTAGATACTTGCTCTGGGTACGAGCCGTCTCCAGAGGTGTAACACCAGCATCTTTTCATTTGTTGCTAAGGTTACATGAAAAGTGGAGACTGTTGGCAGGTGTGACCACTCAATATCTGTGTGCGGGTGTGTTGGCTTCAATGGAGTGTCCCTTCCGGGGCCTTGTGGCACGGGATCTGTTGCAGTCAGGGGTGCTTGTGTGTTAATCTCTTGACACTTGTATTTGCACCCATCACCCTTCCCTGCATGGGCAAATGCCCTGTCCCCTAGTCCACGCCAGAACCTACCCCACCACCGTACCTTTAAGGGCGACCCTTATCCCGTTTTCCACTGGAGTAGTTGGCTGTCACACTGCTTTCCGGGGGGCAGGAGTTGAACCCATCGTTCTTCCCTCCCCAGGTGGACGCCCTATCCCCTAGTCTACGGGACAACCCACCCCCTTACCTTCAGGCTTTACCGCTGGTTGATCACCCCCTTACCTTCAGGCTTTACCGCTGGGTGGCATCGTGCTTGAGATGACAGCACCGATTTCAGCCCAGCTGTAAAACCTCTCCTGCTGCAGCTGAGGGACAACTGGCCATGGGTTGGCCTCGGGCTCCCTACGATTTCCCCTCCTCCGTGGTCCACTCTGAGAGCTCATGCAGGGGAGGATGAGCCTTCCTTCTGTTCTAGCAAAGCTGTGGTGTTGCTTCTGCTGGGGGAGTAGGAAGCCAGGATAAATGACTACCGTGGGAATAGGGAATACAGCTCCTCTGGCCAGCTGAGGTCTCCACCCTTATTATTTGGAGCCTATTGTGGCTCCCATCTTTGTCCTGTTATCTGCCTTGGGGTTGAGCAGGCCTGCCGACTGGTGGGGGGTGGGGACAAAGGGGGCAGTTGCCTCAGGGCCCATTGATTCAAAAGGGTCCAGGGCTCCTGGCTGCCCCGGGCCCTTTAACTCACCACTGGAGCTCCACACGGCACACACGGAGCAGCACTAAAGGCTGGAGGGGGGCAGCAATCGGGGCTGGCTGCCCTGGCCCCACTTCTTCTGCCAGGGGCCCTGCCCCTTCCGGAAGCATGGAGCCGCCTCTCCCACAGTTTGCCCAGGGGCCGCAGAGGCTGTTGGAGCCCCTGGGGTTGAGTGTGGGGGAAGTGACACTAGAACGTGACGAGGGCAGGGGCGGGGAATGCACAAGCGTGTGAGGGGAGCTGGAGGGGTGAGGCGGTGACGGAGAGTATCTGGAGGGGATGGAAAGCTCTTGTGAGGGCAGGAAGGAAAGCTGCAGCTGCAACGAGAGCGAAGACAAACGCAGGGGGGTTGGAAGAAAAAGCAAGAGAAGAGGCTGCCTGGACGGAGGTTCAATCAATGTGTGCCGAATGCCTCGTGGCCTGGAATACAAATGGTGTTGTCTTGGAAATACACATGCAAATTAGCTGGAGCCCTTGGATATGCCAAGGTAATGGGACGGGACTAGCATTAGGCACCAACTCCTTGCCAGAGCTTAATTATTAAAGCTCCACCAGTTGATAAGATTTGTAATAAAATCTTTTGTAATGTGAACTTGCTGTGTCGAGTCTCTTTAAAAGCGGGGTGGTAGGACTCAGTACTGAGCTATAGCTTGCTGGCTAACGCCTCTGCTAAAGCCAATGCATTCTAGCTATTCTGCTCCAGAATCACACAACCCTTCCTCTTTGGGCCACGGCTGCTGCTAAAGCCAATGCATTCTAGCTATTCCGCTCCAGAAGCACACAACCCTTCCTCTTTGGGGCCACGGCTTCAGGAGATGGTGGAAGCATCCATGTGAAGGCAGGCTAAGAGCCTAACTACCAAGCCTGCTTTGGGCTTAACAGACAGGTGTAAGAAGATGGTGAATTCTCTGAATGCACCATCCCCTTTCCCAGCTAGAGTCTGCTGTAAGTTAAATCGGCTATTGCTTTAAATGATTTGATCTTTAATAAAAACAAGCTGGTGGCCCAGAAAGGTGGAATATTTGGCAGATAACGCTACAGGCATTTTATCAAAAGGAAGTGCCCAGAATCTTCAGTCAACTTGGCTGTGTAATTTGAGGGGCGCTACAGGAATCCAAGCTGTAGCCATTTCTTACTCTTGGGCAAGGAATATCTTTGAGATTTATAAGTCATGCGGCCTAACAAATCAAGTGAGCCATCGCTGGGCATGTTACAACTCTCATACCAATTGGTATTATGGAAAAAAGAAACAATGCAGGTGAAAGGGCAGTTTACAGATGATACTACTGTTTTGGGATGCAGGAAATCAGGATTCAATCTCTAGCTCTGTCACAGATTACCTATAAGACACTGGGCAAATCACTTATTCTCTGTGTCTGTTTCCCTATCTATACAATGGGCATAATTAGACTTGGAAGAAGTAGATTTTTATTGGTAAATTTCAGTTTCACTGACCACAACAAAAGTGACATTTCCATCCATAATAATCAAGTTATCAATACACAAAGGAAGAGAAATGTGGCTTGAGAACTTTTTCAGAGCTTTACTTAAGGAGGTGTACTCTATGGCTGTGACTACACTGGTGCAATCTTGCGCAAAAGCGGCTGCTCTTGCGCAAAAACTTGCTGCCTGTCTACACTGGCCGCATGTTCTTGCGCAAGTAAACTGACATTCTAATGTATGAAATCAGGACTTTTTGCGCAAGAACTCTGACGCTCCCGCACAAGAACAAGCCCTAATTGTTTCCCATCCTTGATTTAGTATTACCCCCCAAAGTCCGTCCATCTTATTTAACGCGGACTTTTAACGTGCACTAATCCGTGCGTATTGGTCTGGGTTTTGGATTGCAGAAGTAATGCAATTTTTAGGGAGCAGGGGAGGGGTAAGGGATCCCCTCCCCCCCAGTATTCCTGTTAGCACCGCCTTGGAGACGCAGTGTTTTAAAGCTAGAGAGGGATAAGTGGGAGGCTAGGGAGGAATCTCCTGTTCAGAGCAGAGAACCAGGAGCAGGATTTTCAAGTTCTTTTTCCAGCCCCTCTCAATGGTTTCCCAGGTGACTCTGGGGAGGCCATTAGTCAGTTTCTAACCTGGGGTGCTCAAACAGACACCTTAACAGTGGCCTGGGTTTCAGAAGGGCTGAGGGATCTGCAAATGCTCAGCCCTTCTGAAAATGAAGATTTAGGCAAGGGATATGTCTTTTCTCCTGCTCAGGGGAGAGTGAGACACCCTGGCTACGTCTACACTGGCAGGATTTTCCGGAAATGCTTTTAATGGAAAAGTTTTCCTTTAAAAGCATTTTCGGAAAAGCACCTCTCGATTGGCAGGATGCTTTTCCGGAAAAGCACGTTTTGTGGAAAAGCGTCCGTGCCAATGTAGATGCGCTTTTCCACAAAAAAGCCCCAATCGCCATTTTCGCGATCGGGGCTTTTTTGCGGAAAAGAAATCTGGGCTGTCTACACTGGCCCTTTTCCGGAACAGTTTTCCAGAAAAGGACTTTTGCCCGAAAGGGAGCAGCATAGTTTTTCCAGAAAAGCACTGATGATTTTACATTAGATCGTCAGTGCTTTTCCGGAAATTCAAGGGGTCAGTGTAGACAGCTGGCAAGTTATTCCGGAAAAGCGGCTGATTTTGCCTATATGTTTTGATGGAATATTGGCTATGTGTTTTAACTGTTTATAAAGTGGCTCTGTTTATTAACTGGTCCTTTCTAATTTGCTACAGTTGTGAAAATTTGATAAAGATAAGCTTAAAATAGTACAACAGTGAACATGTAAATTAATAAATGCTTACAAATAAACAAATAATGTGAAAATTATTAAAAATTGAATTGTTCCATGCATAGGTATAAAATTTCCTCTCTATCCTGCCTCAGGACTCTTTCTACAGCTGCTCACTTAGAGCATGTCTACACAGCAGTGTTATTTTTAAATAACTCACATTATTTTGAAATAACAGAGTGTGCACCTACACAGCAAGCCCGTTATTTCAAAATAACAGGCTTCTTACTTCGACTTTTGTAACCCTCATTTCACATCTTCCTTTTAACTTCCTGCGGTGCAGACAGCGCCAAAAGTTGTGTTACGGTACTTCGACTTCAGCTACGCAATTAATGCAGCTGAAGTTGTGTATGTTAATTCAATTTTAGCCCATATTGTAGCTGTTTCCTTAGACTACTGGGGCCTTGACCTCTGCTGGGGCCTCAATAGTGCTGTGCTACTGCTAACTATGTTGTTGTGTTCATGCTTGAGTCTTCCAAAAGGAACGCACCACCTGAGAGTTCTAACTCTGTGGCTGTCAATACTGATTCTTGCAACCTAGGGGTACGTCTAGACTACAAGCCTCTTTCAAAAGAGAGCGTCTAGACAGCAACCAGTATTTTCGAAAAAGAGAGCCACTTTCTCAAAAGAGAGCACCCAGTGCTTCGAAAAAGCACTGTTTGCGTTCAATAACACCTTTTTTCGAAAGAGCACGTTCGAAAAAAGGCGTTATTCCTCGTAAAATGAGGTTTTCTGTGGTTGAAAAAACCGCCGTGTTCTTTCAATTTAATTTCGAAAGAACGCAGCAGCACTCTAGACGCAGGTGAAGTTTTCTCGAAAAAAGGCCACTGTTTTTGAAAAAACCCTGTAGTCTAGACACACCCTAGGGTACTAGCAGCAGCAGATCAAACGTCAGGACTCAGCCAGTTTGTTATAGTTTCTCAAATAGGAATAGATCCTAGGGTCTGTACTGGTCTTGCCTACTTCAGCAAAGAAGCATGCCCATAAAAAGGGGAAAAACAGTATGGGAGGTATAGGTTTGTTCCTAAGCTGTGGAGGATTTAATTTTCTCACCCCCTAAAGTATGAGCTGTTTTGAAATAATAGGAGCCTATACCTGATCTACCAGAAAGCCAGGTTTGAGTGATAAGTAGAGCATGTCCATGACACCATGCATATGGGAACTGAGCTGCACTGCTCCGCATAAACCACACCCGACTAGTCTTGGATGTACCATCAGATAAAGTTTGATAAATGTTCCTTTTGGGGGAGGGGGGGGGGGGGGGGGGCCTGCTTTTATCTCCTTCATAAAGCTGACGCACACCCCGAGGAGGGTTTTGTGGGTGCAGAGATGAGCCTGGGTTGGTTGAGTGGAGGCCAACTACTAAATGTGGTTTTAAGAAACCACATCAAAACATTTGCCACTTTCATTATGTAGCACAAAGAAGGCAGGGGTGGCCTTAGAAGACTGGATCTTTATTGCAGCAGCCTCCACTGTAACATCCTTGGAAGAAAAAAAATACAGGACTATGCAGCACTTGAAAGACTAACAAGATGGTTTATTAGATGATGAGCTTTCGTGGGCCAGACCCACTTCCTCAGATCAAATAGTGGAAGAAAATTGTCACAACCATATATACCAAAGGATACAATTCACTAGCTCAGCACTGCATGTCTCTAGGGGTAGGGGTCCCTCCTGTCCTACTCCCTGTATCTGTGAAGGGGGGGGGGGGTGAACAGCTCTCCTCCCCCGTCGAGAAGCTTTTTTGCGCCAGGGGCCCC